CCCCAAACGCGAGAGAAAACGTTCAAATAATAACCACAAGCCCCAGCTCGCTCCGTACAGCACTAAGTGCTCCCATGACAGAAATGGGTATCGAGTGTCCCCAGGCCGCCTCTCGGAGTCGGTGTCACCTTTCAGGAAGCGCCCGGGCAAGGAAAAAAGGAAAATGAAAGCGGAATGGGTGAAACCCCCGGGCAGGGGCTCTGCCAGCGCTGACCCCGCTGCCCTCCGCTCCCAAAATGTCCTGCCAGCATTTCTAGGTGTGAAACGCGCTTAAAAACAAACTTTTTTTTATTTTTTCCCCCCCCTGCCTAAGTGTTGATGCATCCCGAGGAAAAATCAATGGCACAATTTCACAATTTTAGCCCAGCACAGCTAAAATACAGAAAGAGAAGCAACAGGTCGCTTCCCTCTGTACCCAACCCAAAAGGAGGCGGTTCCCTCTCGTCCCGTTCTAAATTATTCATTTTGCTCTCCCTGCTTTTCATAATTCCCCGGGAGTGGAGATTTTGATGTTTTCATCGGTTCTAATGCCACATCTGTTCAGCAAAACAACAGATTACAGCCAGGCTTTGCACAAAGCCTCGTAAGCTGGGGCTGCTGGGGGCTTGGAGCCTTGATCCCGTTCACTTTTGAGCTTCAAAATGCCATTAAATAAATATGTAACCCCTTTTTTTAATGCAATTGAGTAGCTTATGCCTGAGCAATTCCAATAACATTTTGTGGGAAAACGAAGTGGCTCTCCCATGAGACAAAAAGCGACCTAATTTTGGAGGAAAAACCAACAAAACACACTCAGAGCTTCCAGTGTGGAGTTTAAAATGCTCTTCTTGACTAATAATTTATTACATTATATATATATAAATATTATTATATATTGCATATTATATATTACTATATATTATATAGTATGCATTATGTATTATATACTATATAGCATATATTATTATATATTATATATTATATATTATTATATATCATATATCATATCATATATTACATATTACATATTACATATTACATATTATATATTATATATTATATACATTATATATATGGTATATTATATATGGTATATGATATATGGCATATTATATATGGTATATGATATATGGCATATTATATATGGTATATTATATATATACATTATTAAATTATAAATTATTTATATTTATTGCATTATATGTATTTACCACCTGTTTTTTTACATGGCAAACACACATTTATAGGGGATTTGTAATATAACAAGGAAGGATTTTGAGATTTTTGGGTCGACCAAGAAGATCTGGGATGCAGGGGCTCCCTTTCATCCCATCTCCCTCCTGCAGAGCTCCCTCCTGCTCCAGCAAAGGCAAAAATGTTCCAAATGTTCTCCTTTTCCCTGCCAGGCTCGGGTACAGCCCAGCTCAGAGGTTTTCTCATCAAAGATTTGTTTCTGCAGGAGTTTTTCATTGTGTTCTTACAGTTTCTTATCTGTGCCTGAATGCCAGGGAATAGAAACCAGGCTGGACCTGCTGAGCCATTCTCCTGCCCATTGTGGGGACACAAATGGGGCTGGGGTGGAGTGTGGGCTAAAAATAACTTTTAAAAATTAAATTCCACTTCTCCCTTTGTGCTTGACTCCCAAGTTTCCAGCTGCTGCTGGCAGGGCTGTGTTTTGCTGTCAGTTTTACACAAGAGCTGCCTCTCAGTGCTGCTTTTGCAAGGAGCCTCTCACTAACAGGAAATTGAGAATTCTCCCTGAATTTTCCCAAGGGAATTCTCTGCCCAGTGATTCCAGCCCTGTCAGGGCCGTGACACCCAAAGGATGCCCCAGCAGCTGCCCCTGGGTGAGTGACCTCTGGGCCCAGGCTTGGTGGCACTCGGTGGCATTGCCATCTCCTGGCCACTTCCAGCATGACCCCAGCCCTTGTCCTTGCACCCTTCTGGTCACTAAAATCGGGGTTTGGGGGGTGAAAACAAAAGAGGAATCCCTGGGTCAGGAATAATTCCAGTCTCATACATCACTTTTCTCTCTCTGGTAGCAAAAATAATTTCCTGAGGCCTGTGGGGCTGACTTGTTCATTACCCAGAGATGATCCAACATAAATGATCCAACCCCATTCCTGGGTGAGAAATTCCTGGGTCAGGAATTCACCCGTGGGGTTTGTGGGGCTGTGACTGCAGCAAGAACCCAAAGAGCTGCCCAAAGGCACGGCTGCACTCATGTCACTGATCCCAAATCCTCCTGAGGCACCAAAAGGGACAGAAAGGGCACCAAAGGGACAGAAGGACAACAAAAGGAACAGAAATGGTACCAAAAAAGACAAAAAGGGCACCAAAAAGGACAGAAAGGGCACCAAAAAGGCTGTTGGGAACTCACAGAGGGTGCAGGAGGCTGTGGGGGGTGGCAGGGCCCCGTGCCCATCAGAGTCCCCATGCTGGATGTCACCTCAGTGCCAGGGGAGGGTCCCAGCACTCCTGAGCCTAAGGGGAAAAGCAAATCCATCAGGGATTTGGGATGGGATTGATGGGATGGG